ATGGACACCAGCTATCCTAACAAATGTTTTGCTGAGGTTGGTGCTGTGGTCTCGAATTTTCCTTATGAGCATGCAGGAAAACAAAACGTCGCTCCTCAATGCTTGGATGCAATTTGTTTAGTGAACCGGTCTGCATTCATTGGAGAACCATTAAATCTATGAGTTAATTCGATCTCCCTAGCCGTAGCCCTATCCCTAGCCCTAGCCCTAACCCTGTGTCATCAGCAGTGGCAGCACCAATCCTCTCTCTTTACTTGTTACTAGCATGTACTTGGTGTTTATGTAATGTAATTCAAAAGTTTCCCATCCTGGTTAAAAACAAACCAGTAGCTGTGGTTCTACATCGCTTCATGGAATGAGTGGGGACCCTATAGGTGTTGCAAACACGGTGAACAAGAAGAAGGAGCTATGGCTTTCAAATTCCAGGCATATAAGAGAGGATAAGAGCCATTGCTTGTTTCATGGGACCATGTTACCTGTGTCTAAGAAACAGCTAAGGGACCAGACGTTGTCACAAAGCAGAGGAGAAAAACACAAGAACCGTAAGAAAATGTCTGGAAGAGACAGTGCTTACTTAAAACCTCGGACTTCGAGATTCAGGGCTGCAAAAGTTGGGTTACCCTATGCTCCCCGCCTCTCTCTCCCAATGTATTTTAAGAAAATACTGGATTCCCTGTAAGGATTCTGTCTCTCCTTGCTGAAATTCCTTCCTTCCAAGGCAGACTTTACTCGAAACGCTTGAAAAAGCTACTGTTTCCACGCAGCAGGCCCCTAAAAATTAACTCTTATCACCATCAAATGTTTGTTTTATAATATCAATTTGCATATGCTTTTTCAAATAGGCACGCATGAGTTCTAGTAAACAAATTTTATTTCATATTAATTACGTGAAAAGGCTTTTGATCCACTGTGACCCACTGGTCTTAAAAAATGTGCAAGGCATAATACTGGTGTTAGTTAAAATTTGTTTTGAATTTGAGGACGTAAAGAAATAAAGAGAAGAAAAGATTTTTTTCTTCTCACTTTGTTCTTGTTGTTGTATAATGTAATAGCAACAATAAAAATAATTAAACCTAACTCGGTTTAGAACTGTGTCATGGATTAATAAGCTAACCCGTATGAATTAAAATAATATTATTTCAAAGAATATTTAAAAGAAATCAATATATTAAGGTCAACCAAGTTAAATTCGTCAAATTACGATGGATTTTTATTTTTGAAACCGGCCAAAAATTTGTATAGTGCTTAACTAGAACGGAAACAAACGGCGTACGTAAAACATGGGGATTGACTTGAGAAGGGGGGTTTACGAACAAGCACTAGGAATGTTAGCACTTGCAGTTCCATTATATTACTCTGTCACAGCCATTGTTGGCTTTGATTGATCCATGATTAGTTCGTATATCAAACGATCTACAGTAGTGAAAACGTAGCACAACTCAAAACATTTTACTTCCTTCACCAACTCAGCACTCAGACTCAGCAGTATTCTTTCTCTCAAAAAACTGTCCACTACCTTGAACGAGAGCATATTTTTTGCCAGCCCTTCTGCATCCTCTCCTCCTTTTAGCTTTCACTCCAGCCTCTTGTTTGTCTCCATTGTCCTCTCTCTTTAGATTCTTCTTTTGTATCTTTCCGTTTGCAAAGTCAAAAAAAGAACTAGCAGCAGCAGCAGCATGGCCATGACCAGCAAAGAAAAGCTGGTGGTGGAGGTGGTAGCAGCTCACAACTTGATGCCAAAAGATGGAGAAGGCTCGTCATCACCTTTTGTGGAGGTGGAGTTTGAGAACCAAAGACTAAGAACACAAGTCAAGTACAAAGACTTGAACCCTATATGGAATCAGAAGCTTGTGTTTCACATCAAAGATGTTGCAGATCTTTCTTACAGAGCTATAGAGGTTAATGTCTTCAATGAGAGGAGGTCAAGCAACGGCAGAAACTTTCTGGGTAAAGTTAGAGTTTCTGGTTCAAGTGTTGCTAAACAAGGTGAGGAGGTGGTGCAGTTGCACACTCTCGATAAAAGAAGCTTGTTTTCTCATATAAGAGGAGAGATAAGTTTAAAGCTTTATGTTTCTACAAGAGAGGAGGTTAAGGAAGTTGGGGGTTTTGGTAATGGAGAGGTGGTTTCTAGTACTCCTGGATCTTCTCATTCTTCGAAGAAGAACAAGAAGATACAGCAGCAGAATCCAGTTACATTGCAGCAACCGCAACAGTTGTCTCAAGAGGTCATCAACAATAACAAGCAAGCACAAGAGCAAGGCCAGAACAGTATTAATGCAAAGCCTGTTGAGACGAACCCAGGCGGGATTAAACCTGTTGTCACCACTACTGCTCATGGTCCTGGTTCGCTTGTTTCTAGTTCTGGAGGGAGCATTGTAGGCCCTGCTGGAGGTGCTGGTCTTGGTGGGATTAGTGTGCACTCAAACGGTTCTAGTGAGTTCTCTCTTAAAGAAACAAGTCCACACCTTGGTGGGGGTCGTTTAAACAAAGATAAAACTAGTTCAACTTATGATCTTGTTGAGCTAATGCAGTATCTTTATGTTAGAGTTGTCAAGGCTAAATATAATATGTTGTTTGGTGGTGGTGAAGTAGTGGCGGAGGTGAAGTTAGGGAACTATAGAGGGGTTACAAAGAAGGTAATCAGCTCAAGTAATGTGGAATGGGACCAAGTTTTTGCTTTCTCTAAAGATTGCATACAGTCATCAATGGTGGAGGTTTTTGTCAAACAAGGCAACAAAGATGATTACTTGGGCCGAGTTTGGTTTGATTTGAATGAAGTTCCTAGAAGGGTACCCCCTGACAGTCAATTAGCACCACAATGGTACAGAATGGAGGACAAGAAAGGGGACAAGTCAAAAGGTGGCGAGCTTATGGTGTCTATTTGGTTTGGGACTCAAGCTGATGAGGCCTTCGCCGAGGCTTGGCATTCAAAGGCAGCAAATGTGCATTTTGAGGGGCTTTGCTCGATCAAATCCAAGGTTTATCTATCACCTAAGCTGTGGTATCTACGGGTGGCTGTTATTGAAGCACAAGATATTGTTCCCGGGGAAAAGGGTCTGGGAATGATGAGGTTCCCAGAACTTTTTGTGAAAGTCCAGGTGGGCAACCAGATTCTGAGGACTAAAATAGCAGGGCCTAACCCCAACAGGAGTATGATCAATCCTTACTGGAGTGAGGAATTGATGTTTGTAGTTGCAGAGCCATTTGAGGATTTCTTGTTCCTTTCTGTCGAGGATCGTGTTGGACCGGGGCGAGAGGAGGCTGTTGGCAGAGTTATGCTTCCAGTGGCTGCGATTGAAAGGCGTCATGACGATAAACAAGTCGTTTCTAGGTGGTTCAATCTTGATAATCAATTTGGCAGTGCAGTTGAGTCAAAACTTGTGACGAGATTTGGGTCTAAAATTCACCTCAGGCTGTCTCTAGATGGGGGCTACCATGTGCTAGATGAGAGCACAATGTATAGCAGCGATGTTAGGCCAACTGCAAAACAGCTATGGAAGCCTCACATTGGTGTTCTTGAGATGGGAATTTTGGGTGCAACAGGGCTGATGCCGACAAAACTCAAGGAAGGGAAAAGGGAGTCCATAGATGCTTACTGTGTTGCAAAGTATGGTCAGAAATGGGTGAGAACACGCACGGTTGTTGATAGTTTCTCACCCAAATGGAACGAGCAGTACACTTGGGAAGTGTTTGATCCTTGCACAGTCATCACTGTTGGGGTTTTTGATAACTGTCGAACAGACAAGAACGTGTTTAACAATGCCGGTGCTCGTGATTCTCGTATTGGGAAAGTTAGAGTTCGGTTATCAACTCTTGAATCAGACAGGGTTTACACACATTCTTATCCTCTCCTTATGCTACACACTACTGGTGTCAAGAAGATGGGTGAGCTTCATTTAGCTGTTAGGTTTTCTTGTGCGAACATGGCTAATATGTTGCACATGTACACACTGCCACTGCTGCCACAGATGCATTATGTGCAACCATTGAGTGTGAACCAACTGGATGCCATGAGGTATCAAGCAATGAATGTGGTGGCATCACGGCTTAGTCGTGCAGAGCCACCACTGGGGCGAGAAGTGGTGGAGTACATGCTTGATCACGATTCTCATATGTGGAGCATGAGAAGAAGCAAGGCTAACTTCGCTAGACTAATAAGTGGACTCTCTGTTCTTGTTGCCATGGCTCGGGGGGGGGGGGCGATGCGCAATTGGCACAAGCCAGTCTACTCAACCTTGTTTGTTTTAGCGTTCCTCTTGTGGGTTGCAATGCCTGAGCTCATTATCCCTTCACTGTTGCTCTACATGGCATCTGTGGGACTCTGGCGATACAGGACACGACCACGTCACCCACCCCACATGGATACTAAGCTTTCTCATGTTGTAAGTGTTTACTTCGATGAACTGGATGAAGAATTTGACTCTTTTCCAACAAGCCGAAGTGCCGAGACAGTCAGGATGAGGTATGATAGGCTGAGGAGTGTGGCAGGGAGGATTCAAACTGTGGTTGGTGATATGGCTTCTCAAGGTGAACGTTTCCAGGCATTGCTAGGTTGGAGAGACCCAAGAGCCACCTTCTTGTTCGTGGTTATGTGCCTGTTCGCGGCTATTGGGTTCTATGCAGTGCCAATCAGGGTTGTAGTGGCTCTGTGGGGGCTGTATGTGATGAGGCCTCCCAAATTCAGGAACAAGTTGCCTCCGAGAGCTTTAAGTTTCTTCAGAAGGTTGCCTACAAAGGCTGATAGTTTGTTGTAGGCTGCAAGAAGTTCATGTCTTTTACGTGTAGGGTATAGCTGATTCGCTGGGATAGACATTTGAACATAGTAGAAGGGCTTAGGTTTTGGTTGTGATATCCTAATTGTTTTTGTCTAGTCATCGTGCTGTAATGTGTGGAACCTCAAATGCTTGCCTATTTTTGTCTAGCCATTTGTTTACACCTCTTTTCTACCATAACTATCGGATTACCGAGTTACCAATGAGTTACTGGGTCAACTGGGTCACTTTGACAATCAATATCAACTTTACTAGATCAGCAGGTCTTTGAGCATTAATTCCAGTCCTTATGCTAAGGACTGAAAGCTTTGACATGGAACGTTGCCATGGTTCAAGTTGATTACAAGTTCATATAACGGATAATGACAAATGGTGTACACAATATGAGAGCTCTAGTGCAAGAAGGCTGCCAAGCGTGGATCAGTGCGGTGCGGGAGACCCGTTCGAGCTCCCAAGGCCCTACAGCCAGCAGCTGCCTGCAATCAACTCCACGTTAAAATAACCTGTTGAATGAGCCCCAACCACACGCAAAGGGCTTGCGGGGGCGAGGGAGATGTTAGGTTGAAAAAAATGTGAGCGTACCACTTGAGAAGCAAATGGTAACATCTTCTCCGGAGGCATGTTGGCGCAGATAGCTAGCAGAAAAACAAATGAACATAGATGAGTTCCAAGCTCTTCAACGGCACCAGCAATCTAAAGTGTATCAACAGACAGAATATGGTAATCGTAGAAATGATGGACAACATGACACTGCCATTAGGTCTTAAGATCCTTGTAATACACCGGATTGATAAATGTAAGACTAGATCCCAGCAAGGTTGAGTCAATCCCAGACTGATTGGGATAATGTCTAGGGGATGAACAACTTGGCAGTTGAACTGGATTGAACACAATCCATGCTAACAATGTTGTTCCTTTGAAAACAATATTGTTCTCAATCCCTGGTGTCAGGTGAATTTCATAATCTAATATTGGTAAAACTGCTCGTGGTTCAGCTAGAATCTAATACAAGCATATAATCCACAACAGGGATATTATACAAGACAATAATCTGTGGAAGACCAACATTAAAACACAACCTCAAAGCACACGCACTCACATTCACCAGTTACACCTACCATAAAGAACAGCACCAATAAAAGCATCTCCAGCACCGGTCGTATCGACAAGTTCTGGTGGTGGTATCTTCTCAGCTGTTCCCACAAGCAACCTCCCATTCACTGTCCCTATACCGTTTGCTCTTATCTTTGTCAGTGGCTGGAAGGAAAAGATGTGAAGTGATTAGTCCATTGAGAATTCATTGTGTTAACGTCATAGTAACTTTAATCTGAAATTAAACAGGTACATCAAAATGAAATTATAATTTCATTCAGTGATCAAGTAAACAAATCACAAATATAACCACTGTAGCATCCTCCTAAAAGCTCCAAATAACATAAAGCTGTTCAAGGAAGGATCAGACACATGCAGTATAACCTTCAAACATTCATTCATGTTGACCATCCAAAGAGCACAAATTTGAAACTTTCATGAATAAATAGGGTAAATTGGGCAGAAAATTGCTCCAAATAGTGAAATCACATTGGCAGATGCTGAGAGAGCATCGTCTTCAACAACCATATACAGGATACCTGTATGGGGATAAAGGGTATTCCATTCCATTCTTGAAAATAATGATTAATCTGAGCAGGCTTTTATCGAATGACAACTAGCATAAAAATGTTTTCATTCCCTGTGATAGAGTAAACCTAACAGATGTCCTTGAAAGTAGCTAGGCCTTTCTAGTACATGGCAATCTCAAAGACATTTTTATTAAACATATTATTTCCCAGTAGCAGTGGCACTTTAGAACCACCATGGTGAATCAAAAAGGAAAGTCACAATCTCTCCTATTGCTCTAAATTACATGCCAGAAAGATGCACTGAATGTGCCTGATGTGGGCTTCTTTTTTCTTAATTAATGATTTCATACTTGAAGAGAAAAGGCAGTTCATGTAGCCCTTCACTTGAGATTGTTGCTGCAGACTGATCAAGCTCAGTAATATGGAAAGATAGTCAATTGAGTTCCAGTAAGATATAAATTACTGATGCATAACATGTTGGGATGGCTACGTTATCATCCTTTCTCTGCTTCAGTGACTCCAACAAGCTATCTACATCCTTTTCTTCTGATGCAGGAGCCTCTAAAAAACCAAACAAAAGGCAAGTTTACAAAGCAAATAAATAACGTTTAGTTCTAAAAGAGTGTTGTGCACTTTGTCTTTTACACTGTGAAACTAAGTGTACACTCACCTTCTGTGCTTCTCTCAAGCATTACACATCCATCTTCACCCAAGGTCACAATCACAAATTTGATTTTCGGCAATCTCAGAAGCATGGAAACAAGTGCACTTGAAATAGATGGTGCCTCTGTCCATACCTGCCATAAGACCAATTCAGGTGTTCAAAATAGATTACATGAGAAACTTTCTCTGCAAAAAGCATATATGTATTGTTGATAGGAACATATCATAGGGCTTTATAAAAACAAGATAAAACTCAACTCGCAAAAGATGAATAAAAGAAGTCATGAGAGTACTGCAAATTCAAATCAACTTTTAACAATCTACATGCTTCCAAGCTAATGAGAGTTTTTTCTTAAATGTTCACCACCTGATAAAATGCTAAAACATCATAAGCCCCTTTCTGAAGGGGGGAGGAAGAGTGGAGATCCATTAGTTACAGTATATCCCCAATATGTCTATAATCTCTTGTTGTGTGAATCAAATGTTATTCAATCAAAGAATATTCAGCTTACCAGTGGAAATTTTGATGAGCATACAGCATAACTAGCCAACGGCAGAAGATCATCCAGCCCTTCTCTCTTTCTTTCCACATCAATCAAAATGGGTATATTTTTGCGAGCTGTCTGTACTGGAAGAACCAAATACATGATGTTGACCTCCCAGTAATTGCTGTTAGATGATTATTTTTTCCTTGATAAAAAGCAAGGATAACAAAACAAAGGAGGGATATGTGCAGGTACAGCTGTACATGAAAGAACACATTCGCATGAAACAAATTGGGCAAGTGAGAATATCAGCATGATATGGTGCTACAGGGCAGCCTTATAACCTGTATACAAGGAAATAGTTATAGGATTATACTAGACTGCTTTTCCGACTAGGTTTGCTAAGGGCTCGGCTCGAACTCGTTTGTCAATCCATGATGAGTTTATATGTTAAAGCTCACTATATAAATGAACCAGACTTGAGCTTAGCTAAGTTCGGCTAATTAAGGTTCGTGAGTCAACTCACTTAGGTTCATGAATTAGGCTTATCAGCAAACTTGTTTAAAAGCTTGCAAATTAGTTCATTTATAAGATTGAGAAAATTTGAAAGAATAAAGAACTTGTATAAGATTTCATAAAATAAACTAATTTAACATGAAACCAAAAATGTTCTTTTTATGAACAAAATTTAATAGGAAACTTAGCAGTTATATATGTGTGCGTTACATGGAGTTAAAAAAAATATAAATATAAGACTTTTTATGATATCACAACTGTATGATATTTTCATATTCCAAAGTTTAATTCTAGCCTGCTTATAGGCTCATTAAGCAGCTTAAACGAATCAAGTTCGAGAGAAGCCTAAACCAAGCCCGAGCCTAACAAATTTTAAATGAGCCAAACTTGAACCTAGCTAAAATTAGATTAGTGGTGCTCAAACACATCAAAGCTCAGCTCGGCTCATATACAGTCCTACAGCTAGGTCAGATGATCCATTTCCTTGAATGTTTGAAAAGAAAAAAACAACGGGATGCAAATTAAGAAAATGAAAGTTCGCAAATTGAAGTGGTCAATAACACAAGCAACAAAGGGGAACGACCTCCCCTGAGTGCACAAATGAAAAAGGCACAAGTATGTTAGATCCAACAAAAGGAGTTGTGAGAATAGTTTATACTTTATAGTGGCTTCTGATGATAACATCACCTAGACTAATTTGGCCATCCATGCTTTAATCACAGCATAACATTTCAAAAGAACATGGCAAGTGCAAACAGCTTTGTCATGATAAGCCTTTGGCAACCCAATGGATTGTAGCTATCATGGAACAGGGAGAAGAGGGAGAACAGGAAGGTGCACTACTGAATTTATTTGACACCGTTAAGTAGATTTTACATGATTAAAAAGGAAAGGCAGGATATGCTATTAAAACATTTAGAAGACAAATATTGACCAGGTGATGAAGATGATTGGCAACCCTTTTTCATAATCAATATAAAAGAAATAAACATATGAACCACATTCTATTTTTAATTTCTAACTTGTTAGTTGTTAATGAGATGACCCTAATATAAGGTCAAGCACAAGCAGTAAGCATTAAAACAACTAGAGGTAACAAACAATAACTTTTACCTCTTCTGCAATGACTAAGGCAGTTTCATGTAACCTTCCATCAAGATAAACAAGTCTTGCTCCATCCAATGCAGATAAAAGGCTTGAACGGGAAAGTTCATCTGGTATCATGGGAGGATATCCTGGAGTATGAATACAGGTACGGGTTTTCCTGAATATCAGATACAACAATTACCTGGAGCTTTCAAAATTTTGAAACCAGGTTTTCAACTATTCGTTTCTGGTCAAACATAATACCCAAGTGAACTAACAAAATTAGCTAATTAAACCATAGTGTTGATCCAATCATAACACACCGATGTTAAAGCACTGGAAAAGAAGACAATCTGTTGAGACAAGATTCCTAATGCTGCTGTGATACTGGGATTATTTGTGAGAGAAAAGAAACAGTCTATGTATCTCCAAAGATCTAAATGGATAAGTTTCCAAGGAGAAAGAAAATAGATGTAATGTTGTGACAGATTTTTTTTTTTTTCTGTTGAATAATGTTGTGACAGAGTTATACATGCAATTAACACAAATACAGCCCAGTAAAACTTCCGTGTGGTTCTTTCTTTCATTTTTTCCTTTGGAAGAGCACACAACTTTTTTTCAACTCCAACCATGTCTTGAGCCATGATCACAATATGAATCCCAAAGATCAGTTTTTTTATTTCCCTTTTAAAATCGTAAGGATTATGAACAAACGAGAAAGCTACTCAAACACAACCCTCAAACCTTATAAACAAAACACCCTGTCCATTAGTAAACACACTATTTACACAATGAATCAAGTGTGATAGCAGAGAATGGAGTATTCAAGCAAAGCCCTTACGTTTCATTGTCAACAATAATATACGTAGATGGTGAATTTCCCTCCTTGGAAACCTAAAACAAGACCAATTGAGTCAACATATAACAGAAGATGTTCATAGCCGAATGCCAAAAAGGAAATTAAAAAGAGCTTAACCATAAAACATAGCAATCTAATACATAGAATGCAGTTTAGCAACGCGTCAAAATGAATGAATGCTTGAGATATCCTATATCTTGTATAGTCTCACCACAAAAAAAGAAGTATCAACACCATCGGATTCTAGCTCCTCCAAAACTCCCTTGCCTTGAATATCATCAGCAACCTAGTCAATTTCAAAATGCACAAAATTATTTTTCTTAGAAGTAAAACAAATCCAGAATTGCCTTGAGAAAAGGAGAACAAAAAAGTTTAAAAAATAAACCCCTCCATCCCGGTTTCTATTCCTCCATGAAATTTTATTTTATTTTATTTATTTATTTATTTGTGTTTCTAGACTATCACCTGAGATCAAAATTAACTGACGAGTCTTTTCTCTACCAAAAAATAGTTCAAGAACTCAAATAAAAATAAAATAAAATTTAGGGATTAAGTTCATTTTGACCCAAAATTCAGGGTAATTTTGGGTCATTTAGCCTTAAAACAAGTCCTTAATTGCTTTGAAAAAAAGGAGACATTGATAGGGAAAAAGTTAAAGGCGGTACCTTGGAAATGAGCCTGGGATTCAAACCCAAACGAGCAGCACATGTTAACGCATTCCCCGCATTTCCACCTCCTTGCACCTGACAAGCAAACCAATTGTATTATTATTTATTATAATAAATAATAAAAATAAAAAACAAAGTGAGG